TGAGCCACCGCGCCCGGCTAGAACATACTACTATTAACCCTGATCCTTCTCACACACACCCTTACATTTCGCTTTCCCTGCCACAGTCAACTGTTTCAGAAGAATACAGCATGCTCATTCCTTGATGTCCTCACCTCCCACTTTCTGTTTCTCTAGATTCCACTTGTGGCTCTATCACTCCACTAACACTGTTCTGACAGAGATTACTACTGACTTTAAAAAGAAAAGTACTTTACTAAGATAGGATTCATATACTATACAATGCATCCACTAAAGCATACAATTCAATGACTTTCAGCATATTCAGAGTTGTGCGGCCATCACCACAATCCATTTTAGAATATTTTCATCGCCCCAAAGAAACCTTCACCCATCAGCAGTCACTGTCCATCCCTAGGTAATTGGGGGAAATAATCTACTTTCTACAGATTTGCCTATTTAGGACTTTTTGGTGTTTCGACTTTATGGTTATTATGAATAATGCCACTATGAATACACATGCACATGTTTTTGTGTACATGTTTTCATTTCTTTTGGGCATAGACCCAGGAGTGGGACTGCTGGCTCATATGCTGATTCCATGTTTCACCTTTTGAGGAACTGCCAAAATTTTTTTATAAAACAGCGACACCATTTTCTACTCCTACCAGCAATGTACGATGTTCTAATCTCTCTACAAATTCACCAACATTTGTTACACTCTGTTTTATTTTAGCTATCCTAGTGGGCGAAGCAGTATTTCACTGTGAAACCCAGGAGTTTATTTTTGTCTCTTCATTCTTTTTCACTTAAGCCACCCTCTCCATCAAGTCTGGTTTACTCCGGCTCCTTAAGTGTTCTTGTTCCTCTTATTTTCTCCATTCTTCTACTCCTTCTGTCAGTTCTGGCCTGTTTATAGTGCTAGACTAAAATGATACAGTCTCCTAGCTCATCTTGCTTCCTTAAAATTAATCAGTGATCTTTTAAAAAATAAAATCTCATGTAGCAGCCAGGCATGGTGGCTCACGCCTGTAATCCCAGCACTCTGAGAGGCCGAGGTAGGCAGATCATCTGAGGTCAGGAGTTCAAGACCAGCCTGACCAACATGGTGAAACCCCATCTCTACCAAAAATACAAAAATTAGCTGAGTGGCGCATGCCTGTAATTCCAGCTACTCGGGAGGTTGAGGCCGGAGAATCGCTTGAACCTGGGAGGCAGAGGTTGCAGTGAGCTGAGATCACGTCACTGCACTCCAGCCTGGGCAACAAGAAAAAAAAAATTCATGTAGCCATTACACATACCAACATGCCCATATTCCCTGCAGCACCATTCACAATAGGCAAGATATGGAACCAACCTCAATGCCCATCAATGTATGAATGGATAAAGACAACATGGTATATGTATACATATACATACACATAATGGAATACTATTTTGCATTAAAAAAAGAAGGAAATTTTATGTTGCAAAAAATAAAAATAAAAAGGAAATCTTGACATTTGTGACAACATGAATGAACCGTTATGCTACATGATATAACTCAGGCACAGAAAGACAAATACCACATGATCTCACTTATATGTGGAATCTAAGAAAGAAGAGCTCATAGAAGCAGAGACAAAATGGTGGTTACCAGGGACTAGGGAATGGGGGAAATAGGAAAATACTGATCAAACAGTAAAGTTTTACTGAGGCAGGATGAGTAAGTTCTGGAGATCTAATGTAGAGCCTGGTGACCACAGTTAATAACAACGTATCTACTAGTTAATAATATGAAATTTGCTAAGAGAGTATATCTTGTTCTCACCACACACACACAAAAAAACAATGTGAGGTGATGGATACATTCATTACTTGATTGTGTAATCATTTCACAATGTATAGTATAACCAAACATATTATATACGATTTTTAGTTGCCAATTATATAGCTCATTAAAGCTGGAACCCACTCACCCCCCTCAAAAACACTAAAAAATGAAATCTGAAATCACACTGCACACTTGCTTAAAGCCCTGTAAAGCCTCCCTTAAACCTTTGTTCTCTCCAGAATCTGGCCCTTGCCTACCTCCTCAGCACCTGTACTCATCACATCCTGTCCCTGTCACATCCTGTCTCCTGCATAGCCAAGGCCAAACTTCTAGCCATTTTCTGAACACAGTTGGCTGCTGCTTCACATCTTGACTCGAGTCCTCTGCCTGTCTGTGTAAAATGTCTGATATCATCTCACCTGTCCTTCTAACAGCTACTCATTGTTCAAGACTCAGGCCAGGCATGGTGGCTCACGTCTGTAATCCCAGTACTTTGGAAAGCCGAGGCGGGTGGATCACGAGGTCAGGAGATCAAGACCATCCTGGCCGACATGGTGAAACCCCTTCTCTACTAAAAAACACAAAAATTAGCCAGGTGTGGTGGTGCACGCCTGTAGTCCCAGCTACTCAGGAGGCTGAGGCAAGAGAATTGCTTGAACCCAGGAGGTGGAGTCTGCAGTGTTGGCTCACAGTAGTGTGATCTTGGCTGATCACACTACTGTACTTTAGCCTGGGCAACTGAGAGAGACTCTGCCTCAAAAAAAAAAGACTCAGCCCCAGATGGAAATGTGACCAGTGTCACATGTACTCAGCGATAAACAACTTACCAGCAACAAACTCTGTTCCTGCGAGTTCGGCAGTAGCAAGGAAGTCATCAAGAGAGCTCTGTTCAGTCACTGACTGAAGATTAAGACGACCCCAATCATAGCCATCATTGAGTTCACTTGTGTGCAACTATGAAAAAACACAGGGTAATAAACCCAGCTGCTCTCTTCTGCTCTTGGCATCCAATAAGCTCTAAACTTCCTTGCAATTAGTCTGTGGTCTCGAGGGTGGCTGTAGCCCCTTTAGAATCAATACCATTAATAGTTAAAGAAGCACATTCTTACAATAGGCAGTTCCCTTTCACAATGTCATTAATTTTTAAAATCTTTTGAGGTGGATTTTATTGCATTTCCATTTTACTGATGATGAAACTAAGGCTTCAACAGATAAAATAACCTGCCTATAGTTGAAAACTAAATGACAGAAGTAGAACCTGAACTCAGATTGTCTGACTCTGCTAGTCAAAATTAGTCAAAACTTTACCCGATATAGTCCCAAAATAAGAAATACATTTTACAGGCCAGGCAAGGTAGCTCATGCCTGTAATCCCAGCACTTAGGGAGGCCGAGGCAGGTGGATCACGAGGTCAGGAGTTCAAGACCAGCCTGGCCAACATGGTGAAACCCCATCTCTACTAAAAAAAAAATACAAAAATTAGCCATCGTGGTGGTGCACTCCTATAATCCCAGCTACTCAGGAGGCTGAGGCAGGAGAATAGCTTGAACCCGGGAGGTAGAGGTTGCAGTGAGCCAAGATCACACCACTGCACTCCAGCCTGGATGACACAATGAGACTCCACCTCCAAAAAAAAGAAATACATGGCCAGGTGCAGTGGCTCACGCCTGTAATCCCAGCACTTTGGGAGGCCGAGGCGGGTGGATCATGAGGTCAAGAGATCGAGACCATCCTGGTCAACATGGTGAAACTCCATCTCTACTAAAACTACAAAAAATTAGCTGGGCATGGTGGTGCGTGCCTGTAATCCCAGCTACTCAGGAGGCTGAGGCAGGAGAATTGCCTGAACCCAGGAGGCAGAGGTTGCGGTGAGCCGAGATCGCACCATTGCACTCCAGCCTGGGTAAAAAGAGCGAAACTCCGTCTTCACTATATGAAAAAAAAAAAAAGAAATACATTTTACATAGTGACCCAAAGGTGTATGTACATATAGTGATACAAACATTCAAGTACCTTCAGTATAGTAAAATGGAAACAAAATAATACTGAAACAGGCCAGGCATGGTGGCTGGTGCCTGTAATCCCTCAACTTTGGGAGGCCGAGGTGGGTGGATCACCTGAGGCCAGGAGTTCAAGACCAGCCTAGCCAACATGATAAAACCCCATCTCCATTAAAAATCCAAAGAAATTAGCTGGGCGTGGCGGTACGTGCTTGTAATTCCAGCTACTCAGGAGGCTGAGGCAGGAGAATCACTTGAACCTGGGAGGCAGAGGTTGTGGTAACTGAGATCACACCACTGCCCTCCAGCCTGGGCAATAAAGAATACTGAAACCATACCCGATTACATGTAACACACTCTGATATTTCTCTATCTTGCTGGGGAAAAAATAAAAACAAAAAAGCTAGTTGCAAACCACTAAATTGATTTCCAGACACAACCCAGAGTTTAATAAACATCACCCTAAGTTATATACTTAGTATAGGTACAAATAAAAAAATTGCCAGGCGTGGTGGCTTCTGCCTGTAATCCCAGCTCCTCAGGAGGCTGAGGCAGGAAGATTGCTTGAGGCCAGGAGTTTGAGACCAGCCTGGGAAACACATCAAGACCCTGTCTCTAAAAAAACAGGCCTGGTGGTGTGCACCTGTAATGCCAGCTACTCAGAGACTGAGGCAGGGGGATTATTTGTGCACAGAAGTTTGAGACTGTGGTGAGTTGGTGAGTTGTGATCACACTCCTGGCACTCTAGCCGGGGTGACAGAGTGTGATGACCTTGTCTCTAAAAATGAATGAATGACGTATTAATAAATATTAAGGGCCAAAAGTTTAGGTAGTGATAGAATCAGCCAAAATAAGGATTAGGGTCCAATTCTTTAGAATACAAGTTCAATCTTCCCACTATTTCCTAAAAGGCTTCGTTAATAACAAGTTGCTTCAAACCTAATAAAAGTTACCAGTAATCTAATGTCCAGACCAACTCTGACCTGATGAATACCGATAAGCACTCTATGCTGTTTACTCTGCAGACTACATGGATGAAAATCAGCTGGTGTGACAGTGGCACATGGTTAGTTAACTCCAGGGACATACTTTAGTACACGATCTTAGAACTCAATACATTCTCATTCATTCCTGGGGGAATGAATGGTGAAAATAACGACCAGAATGATTAACACAAGCCAAATCACTTCAATCATTGTTTAAAGATCCTTCTGTAATCTACTAAAATATTAGGTCCTGTCACACCAGAGAAATGAATGATTTATCTTTGAGCTAAACCACTAGGGAGTGCTTCGCAGGGGTGAGGCAAGGATCTGAATTTTGTACTTCTGGCAGTAACCAATCGCTTCTGGAAGATCCACTCTTTGAACAAATTAATACAAAAATACGTTTTGTCTTTTTCCTGCTCAGAAAGTTCCAAGCACTCCAGTGGCTTCTAGGGCAAAACTCAAACGTGCTCAACACATTCTGGCATTGAAGAGTCTTCACATTCTCACTCCATGCCTCTCTCACTCCCCGCCTCATCACCACACTAACCCTCCTTTCAAGTTGCTTCTTTCTACCTTTGTGTTCTGGACCTTGCCAGGAGGAGGAGAACCTGCTACTCGGCCTCGAAAAAACTCCAACTCATCCTTTCAAACCCGGCTGAGGCGTCCATCCAGGAAAACTTATCTGACTTTTGACCCGGAATTTTGCAACACTCAGGCTAGACAGAAAACATGGTGACAGATGACATGATCTGTCTTACCCAGGAGTCAGTGTGACGATGGCTTCGGCTCCGCTGAGTCTGATGGCGCATAAGGGCCCGTCCCAGCGACCCACCGGCCGGGGCTCTCCTCCGCCCCATTGCAACACAACAGCCGCAAGAACCCTCCCCGCTCGGCGCGTGCAGTTTCCGGAATTCACAGTTTGATTACCGGAAGTGACGATAAGCGAGCCCAAGTAGTTCAGGCTCAAAGTTGACAGGGGAAAGCAGAATGACTTATCCTAAAGTGCTCTTTTACGTCTTGAGCTTGCCAGTATTATAGAATATAAATGAAAAGATGCTTCCTGAACTTTTCTGTGGATTTCCTGGCGAATATCTCGAGTTTGGATGAGTTAAAAGAATGGTCCATTCTCGATTTGTGCGTCGGGATTTAGCGTCCGGCAAGAAACTGACGCGCCAGGGAAGCATGGGGGTTCCTATTCGCGGCACTAGCTCCGCCTCCCGCGGCTTCCGTCAGGAGGAGGCGGAGTCTCGGAGGAAGAGTGTTTCGGTGGCGCTAGGACGGGGGCGTTTCCCAGCGCTGGTTTTCAGCTGGCGTTCTCAGGTGTGGTCTCTCCGAGGTCCAGCCCAGCAACTAATTTTTTGTTTACCTATCCGTCCCCGGCTGCGAACTGGAGAGAAAAGTCTTCACCTGGATGTGAATTTGGAATGAGAGGCTGAATAATATTTCTAGAGCTTGGCAAGGTTGTAAAGAAAGCCAACAGGAAGTGACTTACGCTTTATTTCAAATAAAAAAGCGTTTAAACAGTTCTAGTTACAATTTCATTACTTTAAAAAAAATAATTAAAATGGACTGGGCGCGGTGGCTCACGCCTGTAATCCCAGCACTTAGGGAGACGGAGGCGGGCGGATCACCTGAGGTCAGGCGTTCGAGACCAGCCTGGCCAACATGGTGAACCCCCCCCCACGTCTCTACTAAAAATACAAAATTAGCCGGGCGTGGTGGCGCATGCCTGTAATCCCAGCTACTCGGGAGGCTGAGGCAGGAGAATCGCTTGAACCCGGGAGGCGGAGGCGGCGGTGAGCCGAGATCACGCCATTGCACTTCAGCCTGGGCAACAAGAGTGAAACTACGTCTCAAAGTTTTTTTTAAATAATAATAAGAATGAAAATGAAAGTGAAAACAGTCAGCCAGCTCCACTCCTAGAGGCCTGGGCTTTTGTTCCTCACTTTAATGTCCAATTTCCCTATAATGGGAATATAAAGTCAGTTTAGACATTCTCATTGATCTGGAGAAAGCAGCTTGAGCAGGTCATAGATTGAGTGCGTGCAGTGTCAGGAATCAAACCCAAGTCTTGTCACTAGCCTGTACACTCCTGGGGAGAGGGGGAATGAGAGTTGTTAATATGTATTTTTATTTATTTTTATTTTTAGTTTTCTGTTGCCCAGGCTGGAGTGCAATGGCATGATTTCAGCTCACTGCAACCTCTGCCTTCTGGGTTCAAGCGATTCTCCTGCCACAGCCTTCTCAGTAGCTGGGATTACACATGTGGGCCACCGCACCTGGCTAACTTTTATATTTTTAGTAGAGACAGGGTTTCGCCATGTTAGCCAGGCTGGTCTCGAACTCCTGACCTCAGGCGATCCCACTGCCTCGGCCTCCCAAAGTGCTAGCATTACAGGCGTGAGCCACCGCACCCAGCCAAACATGTATTTTTAAATCATAGGCTCAAGGTAATGCATGTATTACCTAGCACGGCTTGATTTAGCCATTCCACAATGTACACACATATCAAAACATCATGCTATACAACATAATATACCATTTTTACATATCAAAACAACAGCCAAAAAGAAATAAGTCATAGGGTCAAGAATCCATTTAATCCAGGGCTTCTCACACTTTATAGTGCCCATGGATCCCCTGGGAATCTTGTTAACATGCAGATTCTGATTCATAAGATCTGGGTTGAGGCCTGCGGCTCTGTTTCTAACAAGCTTCCAGGTGATACCCATGCTACTGGTCCCTTGGTCACACTCTGAGTAGCAAGAGTTGTCCATTCCTTTTTTGTGCAAATTAAGACACAGAAGTGGACTGGCTAAAGGTCAGTCATAGCAAGTTAGCATCAGGCGAAACTGGGTCCAGATTCCCACCCATTTCTGATTTCCCTGCCAAGCCCTCTGTTTGCTACACCTCACCCTTCTTACTGAATTGAAGTGACTTTTGGGAAGTGCCCTAGGGGACTGCTGACAAGCTGTGGAGTGGTTGGCAATGGTTTGAGAAGGCAGTGCTCACAGATGAGCAAACAAATGCATCTGAACAGGATTGCTCCTGTTTCCCAGTTTAGAAACAGTGTATCTTTAAAATCCCTGCACATAATCTCCAGAAGTAAGATTGAATAGAATTAGCAGACAGCTCCTGGCATTCTCTACACAGCTAAGTGGCTAAAGATCAAACTAACTCATGAAGTAAGATTAGGTGGATTTCGTGGTTTAATAATAATACTAGGAGATGATATAAAGAAGCTCGCTATCTCATTCCTAGAGCTCATTCAGCCAGGAACTTGGGATTTCACCCTAGTTTCCTTTTCCTGATTGTGTCACCTCCAAAGATTTCTGAGAAAATAAACACTTAGGTTTTCTATTGTCACTTTTCTAAGGGCTTAAAAAATCTTGACCAAATAAGGCCAGGCATGCTGGCTCACACTTGAAATCCCAACACTTTGGGAGGCTGAGGCAGGTGAGTCACATGAGCTCAGGAGTTCGAGACCAGCCTGGCCAACATGGTAAGCCCTCTCTCTACTAAAAATACAAAAATTAGCCAGGCGTGGTGGCAGGTGCCTGTAATCCCAGCTACACGGGAGGCTGAGGCAGGAGAATTGCTTGAACCCAGGAAACAGAGGTTGCAGTGAACCCAGATCGCACCACTGCACTCCAGCCTGGGCAACAAGAGTAAAACTTTGTCTCAAAAAAAAAAAAAAAAAAAAAATCTCGACCAATTAAACCAAAGTGATAATCAGGTGTGGTGAGGAGTCAAAACGTTATCCAGATTTAATTAGCAGCAACTATTCCTAGCTGACAAGAAAAGCATACATAATTCTAATATTTCTCCCAAGACGTTATGAAAATCTACCAATGACAGACAATTGAGTCTCAGTCTTCTTATCTGGTTAATGGGGCTAATAACAATTCCTCTCCTGGAGAGGTAGCCAACGAGAAAATGCTGCAAGGTCATTGCCAGTAATTTGTGGGGTACCAACTAGCACAGCTGAACACATGTTTTTCCCCTGACAACTAAGCAATGAAGGTGAGAACCCAGCTGGAAAATTTTTCAGTGAGAAGGACAAGGAGGAAGGGAATCGAGGGTGTTGATGAGACAAGATCATCGGACCCAGATTAAAAGGAACGAAGTAAGATTGTCGGGGGAGTGACGATGGCGGTGATGAAGGGTGGAGCAAGGTCCTGGCTGCTGCCCAAGTGAGGGGGTTGCAAAGATAAATCAGGCCAGGTCCCTGCCCTCCAACTGCAGAAGCCATTTCGCCCACACACTTCAGGAACAACGCTACCTAGCAAACTTTCTAACACCAGCAGAAACTCTCACCCACCAGGCCTGTGTCTGGAAGATGGGTGAGATCCTTCTGATTCCCCACGTAGCCGAGCACTTCTGTTAAAGCCAGGATTCTCTGAAAAGCTGGCTCCTGGAGGAGGCTGTATTGATTTGGGGATTGGAAGCCTGGCATCCAGTTTCTAAATAGCGACACAGGGAGTGTTCCCTATTCATAGTGTTGCATAATGCTCGATTTCCACCACGTCTGAACAAACGTAGTTGCAAGCTCTGAAACCCACACCCAGCAACAAACTTTGGAGTTGCTTTCAGCTCTCTAAGTCCACACTGCTGTGCCTCTGGGCTCCACATCTGTTGGAGGAAGGAGAGGAGAGAGTGGGTTGGTTTCTGTTTTGTTTTTCCTTTCACGCCTTGGCGGAAAATGTGTTGGTGGCAGAAAAGTCGTTCCAAGGCGAGCTTGCAGCCTGGTCTCTCTCCTTCTTTTCCATACGATACATCACCTCCTTCTCAAAGGACATTAAAGCAGTTTGCATAAGGCTGAGAGTTGTGAAAACTGAAGTCTGGCAGCCTCTGTAGAGCGTAATTGAATCAGTAGGGAAACTCCCTCTGATTATCTGCCATTCTCAGTTTATCCCTGTTGAAATTGGGTGGATTCTCACATGAGTTTCAATAATTCAGCAGACTTTTAAAAGTCTTTTTGCCGGGCGCGGTGGCTCAAGCCTGTAATCCCAGCACTTTGGGAGGCCGAGGCGGGTGGATCACGAGGTCAAGAGATCGAGACCATCCTGGTCAACATGGTGAAACCCCATCTCTACTAAAAATACAAAACATTAGCTGGGCATGGTGGCGTGTGCTTGTAATCCCAGCTACTCAGAGGTTGAGGCAGGAGAATTGCCTGAACCCAGGAGGTGGAGGTTGCGGTGAGCCGAGATCGCGCCATCGCACTCCAGCCTGGGTAACAAGAGTGAGACTCTGTCTCAAAAAAAAAAAAAAAAAAAAACTTTTTAGTTGGCATATAATAATTGTATGTATGAGGTGCAGTTCTGATACATGTATAAATTATGTAATAATTCAGAATATTTAGCTTGTCTATCACCTCATACATTTATCATTTCTTTGTAGTAAGAACATTAACAATCCTCTCTTCTAGTTATTTTGAAATATACAACACAATATTGTTAACTATAGTCATGCTACTTTCAGTAGACATTTATTGGTGGTTATCATAATGATTCATTTAAGTTCCTGCACTCAAACATTGATTTCTTGCACGTGCACAGAAAAGTATAAAAGACGGGCCGGGCACGGTGGCTCACGCCGTTAATCCCAGCACTTTGGGAGGCCAAGGCGGGCGGATCACAAGGTCAAGAGATCGAGATCATCCTGGCCAACATGGTGAAACCCCATCTCTACAAAAAATACAAAAATTAGCTGGGCATGGTGGCGTGCACCTGTAGTCCCAGCTACTCGAGACACTGAGGCAGGAGAATTGCTTGAACCCAGGAGGTGGAGGTTGCAGTGAGCCGAGATCACGCCACTGCACTCCAGTCTGGCGCCTGGCAATGGTGCGAGACTCTGTCTCAAAAAAAAAAAAAAAAAAAAGTGTAAAAGATTTCTTGCTTTGGTGACACAGGATACAAGATCCTACGTACACTGTATTTGAACCCATGAACTTTTTCTCAACTCGTGTTATGTTTGGAATATCTAGTGGCTTTTATTCACAGATGACTTTGCAATTACTTTTCCCACTTGACCGTCAAGTGAGAAAGGGTATTGTTATTTTACTGCATTTTTAGGTCTAGAAATGGAGGCCCAAAACAGTTAAGCAAAGTAATATAAAGGAGGCTAGAAGTAGTATGAATAATAACCAACTCTAAAATCTGCA